AATAAATTAAAAAAAATTTAAAAATATATAAAACAACTAATTTAAAATAAATAAATAAATAAAACCAATATTTTTAAAAGTATTTTTAAAATACAAAAATAATGAGATTTTTAGTTGAGTGGCTTATACTTCATCACGAATTAGACATAAAATAATTAAAATTAATAATGTTAAATTGATATAAGCATGTTTTAAATAAGAAAAAAATTAGTGTTAAATGAAAAAAATAATATTAATCCATTTAATTTATTAAACATATGATCCAAGTTACTTTATTTTTTTATCTTTTCTAAAGTCAAATACATATTTTAATTATACATGAAGAATAAAAAAACAAAAAAAGCTATTGTCAAATAACCTAACATAACAGTTTTTTTTATTCTAGGGATAAAGAAGTAATTTTATTATTTAAAGTTTTATGAAAAATGACAAAAAAAAACTTTTAATTAGCAGTTAAGAGATAAATAAAAATAAATCATAAAACCTAATTTTTTTTAAAAAAAAAAAACCATAGTTAGCTTATAAAATATATGACTAAGACTATTTGACCATAAACACTAAATATAAAACTCAATTTTCAAGAAATCAAATATTAAAAGATAAAATTATAAAAAAATTAAACTATATAAAAAGATAAAAAAAAAGATTAATTAAAAAAAAAAGCAAGTTCACTCCTGTTAACCGCTAAAACCACAAGTCAAGTTATGAAATTGGGATAACTTGATAGAAATAAAAATGAATAAAACCAAGTCAAGTTATGAAATTGGGATAACTCGATAGAAATAAAAATGAATAAAACCACAAAGCTTATTTTGTAAAAAAATAATTAATTATACAAGAAGATTCAAAAGAAAAAATAATAATTAAAAGAACGAGTAACAAATTTAAAAGAAAAACTAGTGAGAAAATGAATAATTTTAAATCAAAGAGTTAAATTAAAAAAAAATACTTTTACATGAGAATTAAAAGAAGAAGTCACCAAATAAATAATGAATAAATTAAAAAATAACATATTTTTTATCAAATGATGAAATTTAAAATAATTAAAAGTTTACAAAAGAGGCAAGAAATAAAATTAAGAAGTAAAAAAATAGGAATAAAATTTAAAATAAAATAAAATAAAATGATAAAATTAAAAAACAATCAAAAACTTGCAAAAAATTTAAGAATAAAAAAAAAAGTCGATACTCAAACACACATAACTAAAGTAACTACCCTCAATCTTTAATGACCAACATGAATTTTAAGACAAGAGAAGAGAGAGAGATGGTGGCTATAGCTGATAATAATCCATCAAGAATCAAGCAACCTGTGCTATCTCTATAGGAAGAAGACACAACAAGGAACATAATGACATGGTGAAAGAAAGGTTTTTAGAATATCTTTCTATGATCTTAGCTTTGATATAAGATTCACATTTTTCAAAGTCTTTGTTTAACGTTGGGATTAACCTTAAACTATGATTCACATGACATAAATGTGCATGCCCTAAATTAATAAAAGAGAGTATGTAAATTGAATTAACAGTTGCATTACTATTCTCAATATTTAATTTGACACGTGTTATAAGAAAACATAATCCTTGATTTCAATATATTAAAATTCTCAGAAGCTACACTTCAAACGTACAGACAATAACTGTTAGATGCTAATGAGACGGTACTGCCAAATTACTGAGTTTTTTATTAGCCGGGAAAGGAAAGAAGCTATAAACCTTGTAAATCAGAGGGTACTCCTTGTGATTTGTTTTCGTATGATTTCAATACATTATTTTTATTTGGAATTCGATTCATTATTCTTAAAAAATTAAAAACATAACAATTGATTTAAAACTCTAATTTGAATTAAATTCAAAGAATTCCAAATATCTATGCAAAGCTTAATCCCGTTTGTTTATTAAAAATTAGTTTTTTTAAAAAAATTATTTTTTAAAAAAATAAAATTTTTTAAAATAAATTATTTTTTAATATCTAATAAAATCATGAAATATAAATAAAAAAAACTTCTTAATATTTTATGAAAATAATATTTCATAAAACAAACAGGGTTAAATATGAATGACCAGCAGGTTTTCGGACTTTGATTGATTATGTTGGTGTAGTTTGTAAATGAATAAAAGAAAAGATATTTATCTCACATTAGAAAGAAACACTCCCTCCTAATGTTTCTAAGTATGGGTTTCTATTGTGTAGTAAATTAAACCATGGTAGATAAACTCTTCTATTTGGCTTTCTAATGTTATTATATGGATATTTAAAATATCAAAAAATAGCATTTGGAACTTTAAACTTGAAACTTAATATGAACAATTATACTATTTTATGAATAGTCATACTGTTTGATGAACGATCATATTATTTCATCAACAATCATATTGTTTGATAAACAACCATAGTATTTCATCAATAGTCATATTGTTTGATGAACAACCATAGTGGTTCATCAACAGTCATATTATTTTATCGTTATGTTTCAAGTTTATAAAAACATATTACTATAAAGAAAAGATATACAACAAAATATTTTTTTTTTTTGGTCTTATCTTCTCATTCTTTTAGAGGTTTAGAGGGCTTAGTTGTATTCTATATGTATTGTCTCTGTGTGGGACAAATAAACACCTTAAAGATAGTGTTTCCATGCTTCTAAGCCAACTTTATATTTGTTTCCATCCTAAACTTTCCTAAGTTAGGTTTTTGAATGCGTCGTTGCTTGGTCTGATGAGATTTGTGGGAAGAATTTACTGTTAAGGTCTAGGACACATCATGATCACTATATTATACAACAAAGAAATTAGGTAATGGTTTTTTTTAAGGAAAACATCATGGAATGGAAACTATTGAATCTAAGGTGTAAGATAAATTGAATTCAAGAGTTAAATTGCAATATTTCGAGAGTTTAAGATGAAAGCGAAAATAATTTAAGAATTTAAGGACTGTAGTGTTAAATCGCTTTCAAACCCTGTTTAGAACATTCATTTTGAAGTGTTTACAAAATTTATATAATATCCAATTTATATGTTGACTGAATATTTTAAAATCAAAAGTTTAAAGGAATTGCATGTTGAATCCTCAATTTGATGTTTGATTTTAGATTTGGTTTGTTTGTAGTCTCATTGATCTTTAGGTTTATATATTTTATTATTAACAATAAAATAAAAAATTAAATTAATAATATACTTGATTGAGAATAAATCTTAAATAAATTTATATAAAGATCATAAATGTCATATATTTATATATTTTATTGGTAATAATAAAATAAAAAATTAAACTAATAATATGTTTAGTTGAGAATAAATCTTAAAACAAGTTTATATAAAGATGATATAAACAAATATGAAGGTTTTATGAAG